ACATATCTGGGTCACTGAGGGTTTTTTAGGTGTCCCCTTAATCTTTGCACCTGAAGCAAGTGCCTGTCTGGCCTCACCCTTGTCCTTGCCTCTCAGGACAGATCATTCAACACCACGGGCTGTGTGCCCATCGTTTGCCACAACTGTGCTAGGATCTGGGGACCCAAGAGCAGGTGACATAGTTGCACTTCTCCATCCTCAAGTTTGTGACCAGAGATAATAAATCACAAGGGACAGATGTTTAGAGGAGGATTTGTTCCACACCAGCCTGGAAGAGATGAAAGATGTGCGACCCCCAATGAAGTCGATGGTGCACTTCTATTTCATTGTTTAGCCCCCCTCCCCCCGCCTGAACCCCTCCTCGGGGCCTCAGCCCCACGAACCACCCCCTCTCTAGAAACCAAAAGTGCCCATGGGTCTCACCGATCACCAAAGATTGAAAAACCAAGCAAGTCCTGAACAGGAGCAGAGCGCACTCTGTCAAACCCCGGGACAGCAGACAGAGCCTGACACACGGCTCCAGCGTGTGGAGGGCCGAGCTCACAGGCCACAGGCCAGTTCTTGGCACAGCCATTCTGGGAACATCCTTTTCTTCTCAAGCAAACCAGAGTCCGTTCCTGTGCCCTGCAATTAAGAACGTCGCCTTCTATAGGAATGGGGGCCAGGAGTGGTTGCAGGCAGCGGCCTTTGGAGGAAACTCGAGAGGCCAGAATTGGTTATGTGGACGGCTGGGGACCAAATCAGTTGAAATCAGCACATGACAGGGGCAGACCTGGCAACCTGTGGCACATGGGGAAACAGGACCTGCTTTGCCACCTGGGACCAGCTGCAGTGAAGAGCCCAGGGCAGGCCAGCCTCCGAGGCTGGGATGCAGGTCCGGACTGTGGAGAGAAGGAAGGGCGTGAGGGGCTGGGCTGTGGGGGGGCTCCGGCAGGCCCGGGTGGCTGGCGCCTCAGAGGACAATATCCTAAAGTCTGGGGCTCCTCACTGGCTGGGCAGCTGTCGTGACCCTCACAGACCCACCGCCCTGCAGGATCTTCAGACTGGAGTCAGGTCCAGCGCTCCCTGAGGGCAGGATGGAGTGACCTTCTGTCCCAAACCCAAACCTGTGCAGAGCTTGGCGATTTCACCTTGTCAGGAACCTGGAGGGTGCCTGGCAGGAAGGAGGGCCGTGGTTTTGCTGGGGCTGAGTTTACTGACAGCTGGACCAAGCTGGACCAAGCAGCAGCAGTTCTTGTTCCGGGGTGGCCTCAGCACGGGCGACTGATGTTTCCACACTGGCTTGTGGGTGGAGAATGAGCCAAAGCGGAGCCCCCCCAACTGGAGTGGAGAAGACAGAAATGCTGGACATGGTGGCGTGACCACACATGACCGACCACCCTTAGCCAGGATCCCTTGTGACAGCCCCACTGCTGTCTCTTCACCAGGGTGGCCAGAGCCACCTTATCGGGGCCCAGCAGCCTTAAATATGCCTCAGCACCTGGCTTAGGGGTCCTGCCAGGTTTCTGGGATGGCAGAGGTCTGGTGGCAGCAGTGACCACCCAGCCAGCGGGCACATCTGTAACAGGCACAGGACCCGGTGGCTGTACCAGTGGTGCCATCAGCAGGGATTGGTGGGCTGACGGATCCCAAGTTCCCAGGGCAAAACCAGCGCGGCCCGGCAAGGACCTCTGGACTAACCCGGAAAGGTCTGAGCCATGGCCACGTTGGTGGCCCCAGATGAGACCTGTGCCCCCCAGACCCACACCTGACCAGTTTGTGGACCCAGAGCTGCCCAAACAGAGGGAGGACCTGGCATCACATCTGGGGTCTCCCCATGAACATCCCCTGAAAAGGGCTGTGGCCACCTGAAGGAGAATTCACTGCTTGCTGGAGGGCGGGTTGGAGCTCCCGGGGCCTCATCTGCAACAGGAGAGGAGGACCGGAACACGTGACCAGAGCTGCAGGGCCATCCAATAGAGCGCTGGACAGCCGAGCGGGCGCCGCAGCACTCCTGACCCTGGCGGCACAGGCTCCTCGTTGGCTGCCAGCCTCACCGGCCTGCTTCTCATTGGCTGCCAGCCTCACCCGCCTCCTTCTCATTGGCTGCCAGCCTCACCCGCCTCCTTCTCATTGGCTGCCAGCCTTACCAGCTGCAGCCGGCCAATTGCTGGCTGCTGGGAGGAGAGGTGAGAACCACTGCGGGCCAGGCAGCCAGCACCTGGAGCAGGTCGGCCTTTGGCGGTGTCTCTAAACTGCGCAAGCGCTCCGCTCCGTGAGGGCATGTAGCCCGGGGAGCCACGTCCGGTGGGGACCTGGTGTTGTGTGCTAAACCTGTACTGGTTCTACCATAAACTGAGGTGACATGTGCAGAGCCTGGGACATGGTGAAGGTGATAGGAAGAAGGGAGGTGGATCAGTGGATGGGTGGGTGGGTGGATGAGCAGATGGATGGATAGGTGGGTGGATGGGTGGGTGGATGGATAGTGAAAAACCAGCCTCTACCTCAGAGCAAAGCCTTCCTAGGAAGGGGGCGTGACCCTTGTCCTTGGAAAGGCCCACAGAGCACTAAGCACATACCCACCCTGCTGAGTTGTTTATCTACAAATAACAGGAGAGATCTGCTGAGCCAGGTGTCCCTGACTCAGTTAGGCTAGGTGGGGACCCATAGCAACCCCCTAGCAATCACCAATCAGCATGAGACAGGGAAAGTACCTGGGACGCCAGATGACCCTCCCAGGAGTTTATGGTGGTTGAGAATATGTTGGGAAACCATGTAGTTCAGCACAAACACCCCTCTTGGCTTAAACCAGTCAGTTCAAATGAATCCCCCTCTTGTACTAACCAATCACCCCTACCCAACTTGTTCCTGCCAGTGAATGTGCTAATCATGTTTTAGACTTGTTTTATGATTTTCCTGCGGTGTATGATGATTTGCTAAGAGATGTATGTGAAGTCCCTGCCTTCCCCAAAGAATGTATAAAACTGCGGCAAACCCTGGGCTCGGGGCCTCTCAGCGTCACCAGTTGCTGTGTGCACAGAGGACCGAGCTAGCTCCCAATAAACACCTCTTTGCTGCTTACATCAATCTTGGTCTCTGGTGGTCTTTTGGGGGTCCTGAATTTGAGCATAACAGTAGAAGGATGGGTGAATGGGGGGGGTGGATGGATAGGGGGTGGATGGGTGGGGAGGTGGATGGGTTGATGGGTGAGCAGATGGGTGGATGGATAGGTAGAAGGATGGATGGATGGGTGGGTGAGTAGATGGATGGGGTGGATGGGGGGTGGATGAGTAGATGGATGGGCGAATGGGGGTGGGGGTGGATGGATGGGTGGATGGGTGCAAGGATGGCTGGATGGAAGGGCAAATGGATGGAAAGGTAAGTGATAGTGGGTGGATGGACAGGTGGGAAGGTGAGTGGGCAGGTAGCCAGGTGGGTGGGTGATGGATGGATGGATGGGTAAATGTAGACCTGGAGAGAGTTGAAGGCTAAATAGAGCAAAGGCAAATTCAACATGACCGATCCTCTGAGGGTGTTCTAATCAAGGAGGATGCTTTCCTGAGCACGGAGGATCGGGTTGAAATATCTGATCTACAGCCAGCAACACCCTCACAGTGGGCCATTTCCCAGTCACAGCGGGGTGTGGATGGAGCCGTCCAGCTGCTGTGACTGAGGGTGGTCGCTTGCCTTTCCTCCAACCACACCTCTCATTTATTCACTCAACAGGGTTTGTTGAGGGCCCACTGTGTGCCAGACATGCTCCAGGCTCTGGGGACAGAGTAGTGAACTAGTAAGTCCACCCGGAATTTTTTTTTTAAATTTTCTTGGTTGTGGGGAGAAGCACACATGTGGTGACCAGACGTGGACATTAGCCATGCAGATAATCAAGCAGGGTAGGAAAGCGGAGTGGGTCTGAGGCTGGGGGCCATGCCCTGGGCCGGGCAGCCTCTCAGAAGGGCTATTTGTGTGGAGGCCCAGCCGGGAGGGCAGCCGGGAGCAGGCTGAGGAAGGAGGAATGGAGACTTCTCCACAGTCCCACAGGAACCTTGGCTGAACTGGGGCTGCGACCAGGATTACTGCAGATGTTGGGGTTCGGGGTTCCTGGCTGACGCCTTAACTGTGGAAACACCAGATACAGTGTCCACAGAGGGTCTGGGCGGGTCCTCTGGGCCTGCTTCCGTGGCTTTGCCCGCCATGTCTCCTCCATCGTGGACAGCACGCTTGCCTGGGGCTCACGCCTACTGCACTTCATAAGCAGGAAATGTTCATTATGTTATTTTATGGAGGTGGCAAATGCTGAGCCTCCAAAGAAGGTGACAGCTCCATGCTCTGGTTGAGAGAAGGGACGGTGGGCTTTGGGCTGGGACAGGAAGGCTTGTCAGGGCAAGGTATTAGTATTTGAGGGCAGGTGCAAGGGGCAGAAAACCCAAAGTAAAGAGTAGCTCACACAGGAATGTCTTTCTTTCTGTAATAGCTCCTGAGCCGTGCAGTCCAGGTGGGAGCTGAGACTCCCCCCCTCCCTCCTCGGCATTTGGCTTTGACCTCATGGGTCAAGGTCACTGCTTATGCACCAAACATCACAACTGAATCACAGCTAACAGTGCAGATCTGAAGAACAGAAAGTCTTTTTCCCAGAAGAGGTTTCTAGAAGAATGCCATTTTAGCCTGATGATTGACCACCAGGCCCCTAGAAGGCCCATAGACTTGACATGGCTGCCGCCTGGGAACGCACACCAACAGGGAGAGAAGCAGACATAGATGCCTGGGAAGCTCCGTAGCCAGGGGTGGGCGGCCCAGCTGCAGGGTCCCAGGCTCACAGGTCTCCCGCCCTAGCCATCCCTGCCCAACTGTCTCCTCCTCCCGACCAGAGCCTTTTCTGCTGCCTGGGAACCCAGAACTCTGGTTGCTTAGGGCAGAGGAAAGGGTCCTGCAGACATGAGCGCAGGGCGGGAACCCCAGGATGGACTCTGGGGAGCATTCCAAAAGGAGAGCAAATGAATGAATCCATGGACCAACCAATGTCAGGGAGCCCCAATGTTATTCAGTAAACATCAGCCACGTGGCCTCTGAGAGTCCTCTTACACACTCTCCGTGACAGGGAGCTCACTACTTCCAGGAGCAAGATGGCTTCAGTTTTAGATTGTCAGCTTCAGGGTAGACAGCACGTGGGACTGGAACACATTCAGCATCTTTCCGTGTGCTGTTCCCGACTTCAGGAGCAAGGGGAAGCACGGGGGCCTGGGCGCAGCTCAGGGGCAGCGTGGGGAGGCCCTGGCTTGCACCCCAGCACGAAAAAATAATCAAACCAATGAAAAAGAGAAGGCCAGGAGCTGGGGGCTGGCGCTTGGGGACGGCCAGTCTCCTCCCCTCACGTTTCTGGGGAGGTTGTGGCCAGGTGGCGCTGTGCCTTGCCACACCTTGCCGGGGAGAAGCTCAGTTGTGCTTCCTCCTCCAGCCTCCCCGACTGCGCCCTGCAGCCCATCTCCCGGGCAGGGTCAAGGTCAGGGTCAGGGTCTGAGCCTCGGGCCTCCCGAGCCACGGCGGGAGCGCGCGCCCGGGCTGCAGCTGCGATCGCGAGCCTGGGGCGCAAGCTGCGGCCACCTTCTGCCAACGCCGAAATGTTGACTGTCTCGCGCGATGCGACGCCAGCACAGACCGCCAGAGAAGTCGCTGGGTTTTCGTTTTGTGGTTATTTTTTTTTTACAACTTTAAATACGGAATATAAATAAATTTTACATTTAAAAAATAAAAGGAAAGCCCCCAAAAATATAATCACCGACTTTACAAACTGAAGGAAGCAGGCTGGGGGTGCGGTGGGAGGCAGGGGAGGGAGCGCACCCCCCCGCCAGGGCCTCCAGGTGCATCTCAAAGGGAGGGGACAGCGGGGACAGCAGAGCCCAGGCCTCTGTGTTACCATACCATGGGCTCACTCCTGTCTGACTACTCCAAGCCACAGCTTGGGTCAGAACAGGGCCAGTCCACACAGAGCCTGTGTGTGAATTAGAGACAGGATTCTTTTCCTCGGATGCTTGACCTACATCTTCCAGAAACTGTCATAATAAATAGACAAATCGGCTATATCTAGGGTGTGCAGAATGCTCCCTTGCATGCAGTGCCCTTGTGCAGTACACACCCTGAACAATCTTAAATGGCAGTCTTGGCTGGGTTGGAATAAGATGGGCAGGTCTCCTGCTGCCCTGGCCCCTGGCCTTCTGCGTTGGAGAAGAGTGATTGGGGTCATTTGGGGCCTCAATCAGGGGTCCAAGAACCCCTTGGTAGAACAGACTGAAGGGCCAGGACAAGAGGAACACCCAGGGTGGAGGTAGAGAGATGAAACAGAAGAAGTGAATTGGGCGGCACTGGGGGAGGGGCGACACGGGAAGAGCAGGGGACGCTCAGGTTGCTGTCTAGGCCCACCTGAGGAGTGAGCCTCATTTAACCTGCCAGAGGGCGCTCAGTCACCTGCCCAGGAGTCCCCGTCTTTGGAGATTCATACATATAAAGAGAAAGGAAGCCACTGTGAGCAGAGGAGGCCCGGAGGGGAGAGGGCGGCAGTTCTCCAGTCTGTGCCCCTGACGAGTGGTCCTGGCCACAGGAGTTGGAGAGATCCAGGTCACCTAGAGGTGTCTCCGGGAGCTGGCCCGGGGTCCAGGGACCGGGTCCTGAGGGCCACAGGCGGAGTTCCTCGGGCCAGTCCACAGCACTGGGCAGGGGTGGGCCACGCTTGGGGTGGGGTGGGAGACCCTGTCCCCTTCTGTCTCTCGCACTCCTGTCCCAGGTCCTTGGGGCCGGGGAGGGAGCAGCAGTGACTTGGCCCTGGTTTCCTTCTGGAGCTGCTGGGCAGGGCGCCGCTGGGATGAGGGTGGACGGACATGTGGAGGGCGGGGGCAGCACCATTGGCCGTCCGCATCAGGCATCGAGACAGACGGACGAGGGGGACGACATTATCACTCCAAGGACCCCATGGGGGCAATACAGCAAATACCATGTTAAATAACCCTGCGGGCCAAGCAGAGGGACATGGGTCAGAGACAGCCAGGGTCCACCCTGCTCTTGGCAAGGCCAGAGGACCAGCATCAACCCCAATCCCAGCAGCCCTCAAGGCCGGGAAACGGGGGCCGGTGGGGGGACTCGAGGTCTAGACTGTCCTCTCTCCGGAGGACAGCTGGAGCCTCCAAAGTCCTCCACCCTGCGCCCTGTGGACGAGCCACTGGTGACAGCACAGAGGAGGGCGAGCCTTCAGGGTGCTCTGGAGGGACAAGGCCTCCCCAGGTCCACCCGCCCGCCCCGGCCAGCGAGCAGGAACGCCCCGGGCCTGGCCTCACCTGCCCACACTCCTGCCGATGCCCCTAGGCCCCGAGGGTCTCCTTCAGCGCCATCTTGTCATGTGTGTGCTTGAATTTCCGGTGCTTCCCCTTCGGGGGCCGGCGGACTCGCACTGTCCGAATGGTCACCCGAGTTTGGGGTGTCCTGGCTGCTCAAGAGAAGGGAAGAGCAATGAGCACGGCCATCGGGGGGTCTGCCCTCTCCACCAGGTGGTCCTCTGGGTGGAGGGAGGGACAGGAGACGCCATGGGGACAGGCATCCCGGGGTCCGGTCCCAGCCCCACTGGTCCCCAGCTGAAGAGGCCCGGGGACCATCATTGAGCCTCTCCCTGCCTCATCTCCATCTGTGAAATGGGGGCACGAGACGGGCCACCTCGAGCACCAGAGGGGGGAATAAGTGACAGTCCTGCAAAGCTCTCTGCACACTCCCCAAGGAGGGAGGGCTCAATGTGGCGCCCGCCCGCCCGCCCGCCCGGGGCTGGGCCTGTCGTCACCAGCCCCTTATCCCGAGAGGCCGTGGGGGTGCTGGGCCAGAGTTCAGGCTGGGGCTCAGGCCCCAGGGTCCAGATCCAGCTGCGGCCTAGTGTGTGCTCAGCCTCTGGACCTCAGAGCCACGTCCTGGAGACAGCAGCCCTGCCGCCCAGGCTTATATTCATGCCACAGTCTTAACGTGAAGGAGATACAGCCCAGAGAACCCAGACCTCTAGTGTCCAAGAAGGTTCGCTACCTGACAAGGCAGCTGGTGGCCAGGGCAGACCTCTAGGAGGAGGCTTCTGAGCTGAGACCCAATCGAAGGGAAGGAGCTGGGCTCCTGAAGAGCCGGGGGAAGTGCTGGGACTCCAGCACTAGCATGAGCAAAGGCCCTGAGGCAGGAAGCTACCCAACCACTTGAAGGTACCAGCCCTGCTAGGGTGAACAGTACTGGATACTGGCAAGGCCAGAGGACCAGCTAGGGCCTACCTCCTCATGTAGGGCCTTTCAGGCTGGGAGGAATCTAGATTGTTCACCAGGACAATGGTGCCTGATCTGATTTCCACGATAAAGAGGCACGGGCTCCCAGCTGCTGCAGGGGAGGCAGGCTACACCTGCAGACTGGGAGCAGGCCCTGGGAGGGTGGGTACCTCGCTGCTCCTGGGAACCCGCGGGGCTCCGGGTCACAGGCCGTGCAGACACCACCGTCTCACACTTGCAGGCCAGGTGGTCCTCCAGGGTCACCGTGGCCTTCTTAAAGGTTGGCTTCTTCCGCACGATCTCGATCTTTCTCACCTGGAGGACAGAATCAGATCAGCCCTGGAGCCCGCGAATGCGGGTGCCAGGGAGTCGCACGGCCGGCTGTTCCCACCTGTCCCTGGAGCCCAGCTTTCCTCGAAAGCCCAGAGAGGAACCTGCAGGACCCATGTTTTGGCCTGAACAATGGCAGGGACTTGCCCTCTGCCCCTGGGAGCTTTTCCATCAAAACAAGCCCTGTGGCCGGCCTCAGCCCCTGGTCCCCCAGAGAGGGAGAAAGGCATTTCCGGGCTGTCCTCAGTCCTGGGGCACCGGCCAAGGCCAGGGCTGGCAGAGGCAGGAGATGGTCATCTGGAAGGAAGCAGGGTGGGGGTGGGGGGGGGTGGTTAGGGGAGGGAGGCGGGAAGGGGGAGGGCGGCAGGCAGGTGTGTGTCCAGAGCTGGAAGGGCTGAGGACGGGAGACACCGTGGCAGCTGTGGGTGGAGCATGACATTCCTAATCTCGGGCACTGGGCCCAGGCCAGGATGGCAGGGACTGGGCATAGGCCACGGGGTAGCCCAGGGAAGGGGGTGTGGCCAGGCAGAGCCAGCACCTGGCCGTGGTGAACACCTGGCAGGTGCACTGGGGAGGCCTGACCAGGGGTGCAGAGCCTGTCCACACCCATCAGAAGGCTGGTGAGGCTCCTGGGCCCTGCCCTGCCCAGCCTGAGGCCAGAGCCCTCTGGGACAGTGGATTCTGCACACTGCTTGGGACCAGTGTCTGTCACCTGGGGTGTTTTCTCACCCTCCCTGTTAAAGACACAGCCTGGCGAAGGGATAAGAGAAGTAGTCAGAGCGCAGGACCCTTGCCTGAGCCTTTCTGAGACCCCTGAAAAGGGGAATCGTATCAAATGTTTGTGGAATGTCTCTGAGGGACATCATGAGATTTTATAAAGTAGGAGGCAGCGTCCATTTCTTCACGTCCCACGAGCAGCCCTGCTGGGGCTCAGGCCTGGGCACATGGGTCCTGACACTGCTCCGTGCTCCTCTGGGCCCCGGACGGGGAGGCGGCTGGATGGGACGCACCTGCACGGGCCGCAGCTGCACCTGCGCAGGCCGGCAGCGCACGTTGCGGCTGTTGCAACAGCCCGAGCAGCGCTGCACCTCCACGCACGGCGGCCACACCAGGAAGTTGGCGTTGGTGCGGTCCAGCAGGCGCCGCGAGATCTCAAACACCTCGGTGCGCGTCTTGCACTCGGCGATCATGGCTGGCTCTGCCGCCGCCAGGGGCCCTGCGGGGAGGGGAGCTGCATCAGGAGGCTCCTGCCTGAGCCCCTGCCCCGCTGGAGAGCGGGCAGCGCCCCCAGCTGCCCTCCTGGGACCTGGGTGCTTGTCCCACCTCCTTCAAGCCCAGGGGAGGCTGTGGCCCTGGCGATTGCCAGGTGAGGGTGGGGACTTGGTGGGTGGAGCTGCTCAGATCGCCTCTGGCCAGCGCTGGCCAATGCCGGGGCTACTGTGGTTTTTCACCGACAAAGAAACTGAAGCTCCGAGCACTAACCCACCCGATGCCACAGATGGCGGGTAGTGTGCCCGTGCCCAACTCTGCCAGCCCAGACACATCTACAGTGTTTTGGAGTCTGCAAGTGGGCAAAGGGCCTCAGGGTGAGTGCTGGCCTCGCCTGGGAAGGCTTCTCCAGGGCTGCTGACCTACTGTCTCCTTGTGGCCTCGGCTAAGGAGCAGGAGGCAGTCCTGGGCCCTACAGCTTCAGGCCACAGCCTGGAGCACCGTGGCAGAGATGTGCGGCCCACAGAGTGCAAGGGACAGCAGCTGGTTGGGACCCCGGCCCTACGCGTCCAAGCGTGACCTCACCTACTTTTGAACCCTCTCTGGGCCTCTGTTTCCAACTCTATTAAATGGGGACAATTGCATCTACCTCTAGGGTTGAAGTAAGGAAAAATGAGTGTTAAAGTGCCCAATTCAGGAACAGTGTGGGGACAGAGGGCCTGGTAACTCCAGGGTCACGCTCTCCCAGCCCCACTCAGCCCCGAGGACGGGGGCAGGGTGTGGAGACAACCCCTGGCACGCTGGCTGGCTGTGTGCCCTGGTTCTTCTTCCCTGGCTCCCACGCTGTGAGGGGACGCTGTGGGGACCCTCGGTCTTACCCAGGCTCCTCCTCCCACGAGAAGAGCTCTCTGGCTCGCCTCCGGGGTGAGTCCGGGTCATGTTGAGGTCCAGCTCAGCCCCATCGTCATCTGCAGGGAAGTGGACATGCTGTTGAGCACGGCTGCCACCCAGCACAGGCAGGAGCTCCGGACACCCGGCCGGCCCCCACTCCATCGGGCAGGGCCCTCCGCCCTCTGTGAGCCCAGGGCCCGGGCTGGGATGAGGGGGGCCCGGCAGAGCCCTAGGCGGCCATGAGGCTGGTGTGGTGGAGGGTCCGCCTGCATCTCCAGGGGACTCCAGCCCCACTCCGGTCCTTCAGCCACATTTTTGGCCAGAACCCATGTCAATGGAGTTAAAAATAATCCTTCCCTCTGCTACTGTGAGCAGCCTGCAGGCTGCGGACCCGCGCCCTGGAGGCCAGCTCCCAGTGCCCCTCCGCCCAGCGTTCCCACAGGAAGTGCAGGATGAAGAAATTCCCAGAATCCCCGGGGGGCAGCCAGCCCTGAGCACAGCCCCTCTGGAGCCGGAGCGAGGGGCTGGAGAGGGTGGGGTGGGAGCTGGTGGCAGGGAAAGGGGGGCAGGGGGCGGGGTCCACTAGGGAGGAGCTGGGCCACGTGCCCTTGCCAGGTCGCGCCTCACCCCTCATCCTGCCCGCCCTTGTCCTCCCAGCGTGGCCGCTATTCCTGTGGTCACTGACTACCTCGCCCCTCTGCCAGGGCTGGGCCGCTGCCATCTCTGCCAGCGGCACTCCTCAGAGACACTGTGCCCCTCTAGAGAGGGTGGTAGAGCCGGCTACTGGGAATGGCGGGTGGGGAAGAGTCGTGAGCTCAACCCTGAAGCTCGCTCATGAGCCAGCAAACCAACAAAGGGGTGCTGGGGACCAGTCCCGCCGCCTGCAACTCAGTCTCCCTGCCCACTGGCCCCGTCAGGACAAAGGCCCTGCTGACTGCACCCGCAGTCCAGGGTCCCAGGCTTGGAGGGGACAGTCCTGCAGGGAGCCTTGACTGGCCAGCTTCCCACCAGCCGTCTGTCTGTCCCTCTCCCTGCCTTCCTCTCCCTCTGCCATCTCTGGAATGTCCTGGTGGGGAGGAGGCGACTGGAAGATGTGCTTTGTGGAAATGTTAAGTTGATTAGGAAAAAAATAGCCACATGGCTGCCTCGGGACAGTCCTGCCATTGAAAACCTCTGTCCAAGATCCGACCCCACGGGGTGTGGAGGGGCTGGGGGGAGGCCTTGGAAAGCAACTGCACAAAGGCTAAATTTGGAAGTTGCCCCATTGTGTGGCCAGGGCTGGCCAGCCGGGCACGGGCGGGGCTGTGGGAGACTCGGGTGGGGGCCTGGGAACAATAGGTGGCCCAGCTGGGCCCCTCCAGCGGCCGCTGCCCCCCAGCCCCCCAGCCCCGGCGGATTGAAAGGGCCCGGGAATGCTTTTGAGAGGGCGCCAGGGGCCCAACGGGGCGAGGAGACAAAGGCAGGAAGTGCTGTTCCCCCGCAGATAGCTAGCGCCGGGCAGGGATCACAAAGTGACAGAGACGGGACCCCAGGGGGAAGGGTACCCGGGGGTGCAGGCGGGGTGCCGGCCAGGGCTCCAGGGACCAGGCCAGAGGTTAGAATAGAATGGAATTCGCCCTGAAGACCGCGTTATAAATACACCCGCCCCGCCCCGCGCCACGTGCGTGCGCGCCAGGGAGCACGTGCCCGGCCCGGGCGCGCTCTCGGCACGGGCAGGGCGGGCACGCGGGCAGGGCGGGCACGCGCGGGGCTGCCGCTGGCTGGCCTGGGCCAGGTGTCCCCGGGAGACCTTGAAGGCCTGGACCCGGGCCAGGGGGCAGGGCGATGGCTCCCCGGCACCGCCCTCCCGGCGGGTCCACACCTGGAGACACTCAGCACCGCCCCGGGCTCCCCAGCCACATGTGGGCGCTTCTCTGCCACACCCCACATCCAGGTACCAACCTGTGTGCCCTCGGTCTGCCGAGGCGGGTGTGGCGGGGCCCTCCCTGGAAGGCAGGAGGGCTGCAGGGGCCCCAGGTCTCTGGGTACCTCCCAGCTCCCCCACAGAGGCCAGGGCATGACAGAGGCCAGGACATGACAGAGGCCAGGGGCCAGGGCACGGGAGGAGGATGCGATTTACCTACGGAGTCACTGTGCAGCAGGTGCTGGAGGTCCTCGAAGGAGCGGATGGAGCGGTCACTCAGCATCTCATAGAGTTCCTCAGGAATGGGGTCCCCCTGCCAGGCAGACACGGGGACTGAGCAGCCTGGTAGGGGTGTTCCCCACTCTCCAGCACTGGCCTCCCCTGTGGAAGGTTCTGGCAGGGTCCCATCATGAAAAAGTGAACAGTGAAGCTGGGCCAGACAGGACCCAGGGGGACAACCAGGAACACCAAGGCCTTGGGACTGGAACCTCTGAAATGCAGCTCAGATGTGACACCCCAGCCCGCTTCCAGCTGCCTGTTCAACTTCTCCCCTCAGACCACAGGTTCCGGGAAGGCTCTGGCAATCAGAATTCTCTCTGCTTCTCTCTCCACACCTGACCGCTGAGGACAGCCGGCACAGATCACAGGTGACCTAATGACCCTATTTTACAGATGCGAAGACAGAGGCTCCACGGGGATCATCCTCTGCCCGTCATCCTATTATCAGCAGGAACCGTACCCAACCGTGTCCCGTCCTTGGGACAGCAGAGCCTGTCCTCCAGCCTCTGGGTACGAGAGGCGTTTAATAAATGCTGGTAGCGCTGGATGGTCTCAGGAGGCCACCTGTTCAGGTCTCGTGTGAAAGAGGAGAGAGGGAATCCTCAGACTGGGGGGGGGGGAGAGACCTGCAGCTGCCCCAGGCCCCACCAATGTCTATTTTTAGGCCGCCCCTGGCCTGTCACCAAACACACTTGAAACTTAACAAGCACTTTAGCAGGGCCTCAGTCCTGCGGAGCCCAGCTTCCTCCAGGGAAACCACAGATCCCCCAACAACACGAGAGGTCACCGCCACATCCCCGTGGTCCCAGGAGACCCAAGGGCCCGATGCCAAAGAGGTGAGGAGCAGAAAAGTCTGAGAGGCAGAGTCTGCTCCACCCACCAGTCAAGGGGAGCAGCAAATGTGATCACCGCGTGTGCGTGTGCGTGTGCATGTGTGAGTGACCTGGCCACACGTGCATGTAGGACCGTGTGGCCTGGGGAAAAGCCCTGAGAGAGGGCAGCAGACTGGCCGTGTGTTCAGCCTCGGTCTTCTGGGCTGAGCAGGGAGGAAGCCCTGCCCCGCTGGGGTGAGATCTGAAGGTGGGCACGGGGCAGGAGGGGGCAGAGAGGCTGCCCCTGCACCGCCTGAATGGGAAGGGGGTCATCTCAGCCCCCAGGCACCCCGCCTGGAAAGCTGTGTTTTCTCCACGTTTGTGGGGACCCAGGGGTGGTGACATGCACCCACAGGATTGCTCAAGCCCAAGAGTTCAAGACCAGCCTGGCACCAGGCCAAGATCTGGTCTCAAGGAAAAACAAGCTTTAGGGGCCTTGACACTTGTGGTGGTGTCAGGGACACCCCTCCAGGGCACAGCGGTGTCCTGCTCTGGCCCCCATGTTGACTGGAAGCTAGGAGACTTGGATGGGGAGTGTGATCCCTGCGAATGTCCCTGCAGCCCAACTGCAAGAGTGAGTCTACACTGCACTGTTTTCCAAATGTCCGAAAGTATCCAACCCACTAGCAGAGGCAGGTGGGTGGTCTCCAGGGAAGGAAGCTCCTCTGAGTTTGGTCAAACCCCAAACTGACAGTCTGGACCGCTGGATTACATGCCCCATGCTGCTATCTACTGCTGTGTGACCTCGGACTGGTCACTGCCCCTTTCTGGTCCTAGTTCTCATCTGTGGATCAAAGCAGTTGAAAAATATTCGACTTGATTCTAATGCTGCCTGGAGGCAACAGGAGGAGCAGAAGAAAGCCAAAGTGGGGGTACCCTGCCAGGCCTCCCAGGCTCCCTCGGTGTGGAGAACGAGAAGTATTTGTCGAGTAATCATTCAATAACCTTCCAGGAAGGGGCCCAAAGGCTTGTACTCCAGCCAAGGTCTCCTTGCCCACTGGAGAGCTGGCCATAGCTGGTAGCCTGGCAGAGCAGGCAGACCCCCCCAGCAGGCCTAGGGGACGGATGCCCCCAGCCCAGACCTCTAAGGCTGGGGCGGGGACAGCACAAGACAGACTGCAGAGGCAGGAGTACCGTGCATACAGCAGGCACTCAATAAATACTGGTATAATGCACCAAGGACTCTCTCCCCTCCTCCCTGGGGTCCTCTCCAATATGATTTTCCCGCCTCCTCCTCCAGAGGGCCACTGGGATCCTCTTCCCCAACCCCAAACAAGTCCCCCCTCCAGGCGCGAGGCCTTTCCTACTTGTGCTTCTGCTAATCTGGCCACTAGACACCCAGGGCTCCCAATGAAGCCCCGGTGTGGCAGCAGTGACACAGCTAACAGTTGTCACCTGCTGACCATGAACCATAAGCTCCCCATGAGCAAGATGCTGGTCAAGCCACCAGTCCCAAGAGGCCAGCAGCACTTCTACCCCATCTTCCAGATGGGAAAACAGAGGCAGGCCCCGGTCTAAGGACAGTGAAGCACAGCCGGGTCCTCCCCAGGCCCAGCACGCCCACCCTCTCCCAGCCCACCAGGGGAGTCCAGGTGTCCCTGCTCTCTGTTGATGCCCCAGGGCCTCAGCATGGCTGAGGTCCCCATTGGCTCTTTACCCCTGTGGCACAACAGTGGTATTTCCATCGCAGTGACTGGACTCCCGGGGGACACTGGCACAGCTGAGGGCGTTCTGTGGTCCCGAGCAGGGGAGGGCTGCTGGTGTCTAGTAGGGCTAGGCCGGGAGGCTGCCTAGCACCCCACCGTGCACAGGACGTCCCCACACGATACAGCAATACTGACCCCAAGTGTGCAGAGGCTGAAAGACCCCACAGCAGAGGGGAGAGGGACTTCCCAAGCCAGGGCATCCTGGATCCAGGGAGCAGGTCTTTTAACTCTCAAAAACCTCAATTAGCAGGGCGCAGTGGCACAAGCAGGGCACGGTGGCACACGCTTGTAATCCCAGAGACTCAGGAGGCTGAGGCAGGAGGCTCTGAAGTTCAGGGCCTGCCTGGGAAACTGAGACCCTGTCTCAAAATTAAAAAATAATGACAACATCAACAAGGGCTGGGGATGTAGATCAGTGGTAGAGCAACGGTGGGTTCAGTCCCCAGCATAGCTCCCCTCAAAACCAGCCCCAACAACAACAAAAACCTTGGCTTCTTCGTCTTAGACGGACTAAGGAAATCTCGCCCGGGCCGTAAATGCAGAGCAGCCAGCAAATAGCCAGTACTTAATGAGGGTCATTGTCAGAATGGCTCCTTCGAGGGCAGCTGCAAGTGGCACATGTGCCCTGGGCCAGCAGCACAGGACAGTTTCAAGAGGACAATGAGTGGGTGGAGAGCTGCCCGTGGGAGAGCGACTGCATGATCCCCTGCGTTGGGCCACAGGAAATGGCACCGCAGCCCCACACTGACACCACCTGGTGCTGTGGGGGCTGGCAGGTCCCTTCCGGGACTGAGGGTGGATGAGGGGTAGGGACAGTCAGCCTGTGGTCAGCTCCAGGATGTGCTGCCCTGACTTCAGGGACACCTGTCTGGAGTCAGGCCACTCTGGGTGTGGGAGGACGAGCTGCCCGGAGCCTGGCTTTCCTGGCCCCAGGTTCTGGAGGCCCCCAGGTGGGTGCCGCCCCACCCCCTAGACAGGAGAAGAGGCCTGGCCCCTGCAGAAGCTGCCCCAGATCTCAGGCCTGAGGCTCTGGCAGGGCGAGGGTGTGGCCAGGACGTGGCTGGGGCAAAGCCAGCCCCGGGAGCCAAGGCAAACAGCCTCCTCCCCGCCCTGCCCCCAAAGCCAGCTGCCAGAGGTAGGAGGGCACCCAAGAGCTGAGGCCAGGTGAGTTACCTGCTCCCAGCAGACTGGCAGATCAAAAGGGCTCGAACCCCACCCTCCGCCTGGGCACACGCAGACACACTCTCCGGCAGGCCCTGGGCCCGGCAACCAGGGGCGCTGACCTTGGCCAGCAGAGGCAGAGGCCCACTAGGCTCCGCGTGCCCGCTGGTCGGGAGCCCCAGCCTGATCTAGATGGGATGCGGAGCCAGGCCCTGTGGGGAACCCTGGCCAGGCAGACCACAGATGCCCTCTCCACCAGCTTCTCCCTCCCTCACTTCACTTCCTGTGGCTCCCGGGACCCTCCCTCCTGCTCGGCCTCCCGGCCTCTTGCTGCAGCAAGAGAAAATGTCAAAGCAGGAAGAGAAGAGAGAGGGCCTGTCCAGCGATGGGCAACCATCACCGCCATCACTGCTGCCACCCCGAGAGCAATTTCGCTGCTCCCTGGGAGCTGAGTGAACCCAACCTTCTTGTTGCTCTTTTTTTTTAAGCTGGTGGAAACTGAGGCCCCGCTAGAGACACATAGAACACCTGATGGTCCTTCCCCTCTGTCCTTTCCTATCCTGACAAGACAGAAGAGAAACAGACACCTGTTTCTCAGGGTAGGGTGGGAGGTGGTCTTGAAAGCCCGATGACTTTTCCTCCCGGCCTGGCCAGAGAACAGTGTGCCATGAGGGCCACCCTGGGGGGCGAGGGTGGAAGGAGGGGTGTTTCTAAAGCTGGCCTGGACCCCGCCCCGCCCTACCATTCACTGTCCTTTCCACTTATTTCCCAGTTGTCCACCAAGTACCAGGGACCGTGTGGTCAAGACAAAAGCCCCAGAGTGTAGTTTGCACTCCGGTGGGAAAACCGAAAACAAACAGCTGAATACCCAGAAAAACGAAAATAGTCGTCATAGAAGGAGCATCTGGAAGAGAGGAGGGGAAGATTTTGCCAAGGACTTCTAGAAAACACCTCAACCCCCCCCCACCCACTTCCTGGCTCTTGCACCTGAGCCTCCAAATCCTGTCTGACCTGGATTGCACACCTCCAGGTCTTTGGGGGGGGGGTGTGCAGAAAAAGCTGGTTTCCGCCCCCTAAGGCTGGCAAAGGGGGAGGCAGCCAGGGGGTGAGAGGAGGGCCCCCCCACCCCTTCCCAGCAGAAGGGTGCTGAGGCTGCTGAGGCGCAGGCATCACATGACAGGGGCAGTCTACCTTGCCGGAAGCCAGCTCAGCTGATGGAGAGGGGACCTCAGAGGCCTCTGCAGACTCTGGGCCCCCATCCCCCTTCCCAGCTGCAGAAGCATCCCTGCGACATGCCCTAGGACAGGGCCACCTCCCGCAGCCAGCCCTCCCTGAGTCTCCCTACACTGGCAAATCACTCTGAACTGGTCCCGAAGTGAATAGGTCCCCTTCCCATCCAGGTCTCCTCCGCAGCGGCAGGAGAGCTTTCACAAACTGCAAAACACACACAATTGTGGGTCCTGTATTCCTGTGTTCGAGGACACTGACTAAAGTCAGGAAGGGACGTGTCTGAGCCTCTGCCCCAGGCACATACTCAAGGAGTTGAAGAGGTGGTGCTGGAGGAAGCTGGAAATGGCCAGGGGAGGCCGCGGGAAACCTCCTCCAACTGGTAGCCAGACTCTGCAGACCAGCCGGAATCTGCAGGGCAACAGCCCAGGATAGGAACCCATTGGTGGTGGCCCCGGGGCCCTCCTATCTTGGAGGTTCCCATCAGGCTTATATGAAAAGAGAAATGCACTAGACATCCCTGCTGGCTTCAGTCACATCAGCGCCATTTACGGTCACATGGGGGTGGCTGAGAAAAGCACAGAGGAGTAAGGTTTGAGGGGCGCCAAACTGAACTGACCAGGCAAAAAAAAGGTGGGGGTTGCTATGGAGTCCAGATCCAATGGAGGCTTCCGTCGCCCGCCGAGGACCCCAGGAAGGAAATGGGGTCATTGCAGAGGCGGTGAGGTGCCAGGGCCCGTGGTGGACCCACCTGTTGCGCGGGGGCGGGCACCTGGCACTGGGTGTACGGAGCCGTGCGTTCCTGTGTACGTGCGTGGGTGTGCGCGCACGTGTACTCAAGCCGCGTGTGCAGGGGCCGTGCGTGCGTTTGTGTGTGGTGCGCGCGCGTGTGTGTCCCGAGTGTGCACGGGCGTGGCAGCGGCGGGCGCGCGACCTGGCCGCGGTAGTGCGTGCCCGCCGCCGGAGCGCAGCATCGCCTCCGGCCAGGAGTGTGCATGCGTGGGGTGAGTGAGCGAGTCGGGGGGCCGGGCGGGGTGGGCTGCGGAGAGCAGCCGCGGGGCGCCACCGTTCCCAGGACGCCCTGGCACCGGGCCAGCCCCCCGGTCCCGCGGCGAGGCGGCAGCTGGGGCCGGCCGGCGCCCCCATCCCCAACAGCTGGCCGCGGCCCGGGGGGCTGCGGGAGAGGCGAGGAGGGGACGTCGCGAGAGGCCTGCGGGCGGCCGGGCCGAGCCCCGCGTCCTCCCTCCCGGGTGCGGGCCGCGGGGGGCGGCCGCGGAAGGGCGGGGCCCCAGGTCAGGCGGCCGGCGGCCCTCGAGGAGCCCCGAGAACAAAAGGAGACGGTGACGGCTCCTTCGTGGTCAAAACAACCTGCGCTGGCGGCGGCCCAAGGCCGGGCCGCGGCCTGGAGCCCTCCGCCTTAACCCCTTCGCCGCCGCCGCCTCTAGGCTGCGCCCCGCTGGAGGCCGAAGGGGCTGGGGCTCCCCGGGAGCCGGCGGGGTGCGAGCTGAGGACCGCGGCGGGGCGGGGGCGGGACGGGACCCAGGCTCGCCGCCTCCCGAGTGCCCTCCTCCCTTCCACCTCGCGCCTCCTCCGGCCCCGCCCCCTTTCCCACCTGGATTCCGGCTGGACTTGCCAACTCACTGCTACGTGCGCCTGGCAGGGTGGGGGCACCGATCGAGACCCGGTCGCTCCCGCAGCCGTTTCTACACCCCATCTCCCTTGCAGCTCGGCTTCTGCAGGCGGCGCGTTCCGCACCCTACATGCGGGGGAGAGAGGTGCTTCCTCTCGAAGGGCGCGGGCGCAGGTATGGCGGGGCCTCAGGCACACACCGCCCCGGGGGCTGGATTCCTTACGAGCCCCCAATCTTCTTCCTACGCTACGCGCCCAAGTGCCCCAAACCTACCCTTGCCTGTCTGTCTCCCTGCCTCTCTCCCTATGCCAAGACACAACTGCTCCTGGACAGTTCGAGTGCCAGGCATGCCCTGCGCGGCCCGAAGTGCCCACCCCAACCCAGAGCGTTAGCCAGGGTGGGACCCGAACCCCCGCAAAAGGTCGGCGTGGATGTCACGGGTGTGTAAGCTCGTACCTCCAGGAAGGCTGGGTCCTGGACAGAACCTAAGGCCAGGCTGGAGCGAGCCAACGTGGGCTCGGAAGAACGCCCTGCCTTCTGCACCTCTGGCACACCCCACCCCCTCTTCTCCAGCTGGAAAAGGTCTTTCACTCAGGTTCTGGGGAGGGGGCAGGGCCACACACACCCTCCCTAGAGGCTAACAGACTCAGGGACGTAGATTCCCCCCCATGGAAAGAAAGCCACTGCTGCTCCCTTCCCTTAGAGCCTAGCCCCTCCGGACCTCGCCTTCCAGTCCTCGGGGTCACCCAGCGCCCGGCGCCAGGCTCTTGAGCTGGAAGGGTCCAAAGTTCACTGCAGGGAGAGGAGGGGGCAGCCAGGCGTGGGGGTGGGGACGATGAATGCTGAGAACCAGCCCCAGCCGCCGTCGCAACTCACCTCGGCGCTGACCAGACGCAGGTAGCAGCAGAGAGACAGGAAGAGCGCCCAGCAGCGATTCATGCCGACTCCGGGCCCGGCCCCGCGGGGCCCCGGACGCGTAGACGGAGCGCGCCGCCCCCGCGGCCAGGGCGGGGGGCTGGGCAGGAGGGTGGGTTCGGCTCGGGTCCGCCGCGATCAGGCGCTCAGGCCGCTGCAGCCGCCGCCGCGGCTCACCCGCATGGCCCCCGGGCGCCGCCGCCCCCGGCCCCGGCTCCGTCGCTGGGGGGCTGGGGAGGACCTGGGCACGGGACCAGGGTCCGAGGCCGCTACCTGGGCGGATCCCGAGCCCGCGCGAGCATCCACGGCCAGGGGGCTGCGTCGCGAACCAGCCAAGGCGTCTAGCCGTGTGGGGGCGCGCAGGGGACTCCAACCTCCGAGAGGAAAAGGAACGCGGCAGTCGGTGGCTCGTCTTCCCTCGCCGGCTAAAGGCGTTTTCCTCTGCCCGCTGGCTTAGTTTTTCTGCAACATTTTCTGGAAAGGTCCCCCAAATCAGAAAGCGCAGGGCTGGGCACCTCAAAGCGCGAGTCTTCCAAAAAAAACTTTTTCCAAAGTTGGCTCTGCTGCGGCGGCTCGAGCACCGGGGCAGGGAGAGGTGCAAACTCCCGCCCGGGCCGGGTGGGGGGGGCGGGAGCGTGTGCGCCCTGGCGCGGGGCCCGGGCGGCGGGCACGGCTGCTCCGCGCGCGCGGCGTTCCCGCTGCGCGCTCTGCCGGGCCGGGCCGACAGGTGGACGCGGCGCGAGTCGGTGGGTCGGTCCGCCCGCCGGCTTGCAGCTCTGGGCGTCCTCTGCGGGTTGCGAGCTGCGGCTGCTCCGGCTTTCTCTTTGCAACGAGGCTGGAGGGTGGGATTTTTTTTTTTCCTTTTTGCGCGTGTGTGTATGTGTGTATGTGCGCAAAATATCTCCCAGGGATGAAAGATGGGCGCTGGCGGCCGGAGGGGAACCCTCAGGGAGGCAGCGGGGGAGGCCGCGGGCGCGCGGGGAGGCAGGCGGGCCGCTCCCGGCTGCAGGAGGAGAAGTTGCCACCCTTTCAGCTGTTCCGGCTTTTATAAAGGAGAAGGGAGAGTGGAGAGGTGGGTGGAGACAGCCTTTCCTCTTCTGGCCGGGAGTCAGCGCCAGGAGGGGGCTGGAGCTTGGGGAGGGCCTGGGGTGAAGGCGGGGCTCCTAGGGGTCTCTGATAACCGGGTAGCCCCCCTGCCCATGAATCTGGTCGTGGGGAAAGAAGATCTAGGGGCGACGATCCCCTTCCCCCACCCTCAGCATAGGGACTGCTGACCCGTTAGGAGCCCACGTGGTTAGGGGTGTCTCCAGGGCCCCACGCAGGAGCCCAAGCCCCCTTCGCGACCAGATTGAGCAGCCTGGCACCCGCATTGTGGCTCGGGACTCAGGCTCTGCAGCCTGACAGCCTGGACTCAGATCTGCCCTGGCACTGAGCAGCTGGGTCACCTTGGGCAAGTCACTTCCCTCCTGTGTTCCCCATCTCTGCTCAAAGTGTGGGCAGGGTTATGGTTTGGATTAAATATCAGAAAGGTCCGGAAGCACCCAGCTGAGCTCCAGCCACAGGGTAGCCCTGCAGACCCCACCGCCACTTGGCTGCGAGCTGGGTCTGCGCATCCTCCTCTAGCTGCTGCCTGGCACACAGCGGCTCCGCCAGCTTGGGCGGAATTGGAATTTGTTGAACTGCAAAGTCACACGAACCCTACCACCCTGCCGCATCCTCCGGCTCCACCAGATCCAGCAGTCGCCCTGGTGTTTACTACCTCCCGCAGCCGGGTCCCAGCCCAGGGGCCTCCCGCCCACACCAGCACTCACACAGTTAACGCCCTCCACCCCCAGCGCAGGGAGTGCTGTGTCCCTGCCTTCAGCAGTCACACTGTCACAGTGACAGTCACACTCAACACGCCAAGCCCAGCACACAGCCACAGGCCCACCGCATCTCCCGGCCGCCTGGCTTGAGGGCACCTGCCTCTCATCCACTTGCACAGTCCTGTCACCTGTCCTTTGTACCCAGATGCGACCCCGGTGCCGGCTGCTGCTCACACCTGCACACACCGAGTCTTGCAGCTGCCTCTCTCTGGACCTGCACGGGGCCGGGCGAGCCTAAGGAGGAGTTCCAGAGGGGCCTCTTTACAGATGGCCACAGGCACCCATCCTCCCTGATGGCTGCCTGGCGGCCTGGTGCTGAGGCTGGGAGGTGACCCAGGGCAGGTGGCCAGGCAAGTGTCCCCAGGAGGGTTATTTAGCCTCAGGACCTCAACTGTCTCCTCTGGGAACTGTTCCTATAAGTGGAGGGATTTCAAAGAGGCCTAGTGGCATCTTGGGGCGGTGGCAGTCTGTCATCTTTGTGGTAATGGGTTCTTGGGTATATACTTCTATAGAACTGAAGCAGGCAGTCCTGTGTACCCCGGGACACTGTGCAGAGCGTTTGCCCACCTCGTGGAGTGGTCTGGAGCTCAGATGCAATAGTCCCTGCTCACAGAGACCCTTACCCCGGGGACCCCCGTGCGGACAGGCGGACACATGCATAAGCAGATAAATTAGGGAGGCAAGGTCACAAGCAAGGGGGGAGGGTAATCCCTACACACTTGACTTGATGTTTAAAGATTTAGAGATTAAAAGACAATCTTGACCTTGACCTGTGTTCTCACCTAAAAATGAGAATAGCTTCCATTACTGTTGAGCGGACCCTGTGGGGGGAGTGCTCCTCTGTCCATCTAGCTTCTCAGTGCTTCTGTGAAATTTTACTTCTGTTTTTCAGGTGGGGAAACTGAAGCACAGAGGAGCCAAGCAACTTGTTCAAGGTCACACAACCAGTAAGTGATAGAGGCACAACCTGACCCAGGTGGACCAGCTACCAAGCCCCATGCTTACCAACTAAGCTGAGCTGTTTCCTGGCGGGCGACAACGATGATGAAGACAGTGACAACTTTTGCACGGGGTTCTTGTGAGCATCAAGTGCATTAACACATGTGACACGAGTGAAGCACTGAGAGATACAGTCAGGAAGGAGACCAGTCCTGGTGCTCCGGGACCTCCCCGTCCCCGAGTGAGAGAGAGAGAGACAGACTCCTCCACAATCCAGAAGTGGCAGGACAGGGACCAGCAGAGGCATTGGGAACCACCTGGCACCTGGACCTAAATGCCATTAGGAGCAGAACCCCTTTCCTGCACCTTCTCCTTGCAGACAGGTGGCTCTGGAAAGCACACATCTGCCTCTTCTTCGTGGCACCTCCTCCAGGGAGCCCTCAGGCCCAGTGCTTGCTCTGGGCTCCCCAGTGTGTCCTGTCATGCCCAAGTGTCAGTCTAGCCCTAGACAGTTCAGGGTGAACGAAGGTCACCGCTCCCTGCATGTAGTAGTTGCTCAACTAAATGTTTACTGAAGGAACAAATAAATGAATAAACATCTTGCCTGTTTCTTTCTCTGAATCCTGGCCGCTTTGTAGCGTGAGACTTTAGCCTCAGAACCATGGGGACCTGTGGGCCCCCCTCCCAGGAACACAGTGGAGAATCTGGAGGTATCAGAGCTGGGAAGGCCCCACCCATCTTCCAAATTAGGGCCATCGGGGGATTGTGCCCTCCCGGAGGGAATGGGTCACGGACCTTGAGGTGGGGCCCGCCCGGGCTGGGCTTTCTGGACTGGGCTTCAGGTGCCACTCAAGCCCCCTCGGAGGAAACCACCCTCCACCCCGGGTGGGGCCAGGGAAGGAGGAGGGTTCCACCCCCAGGTCCTGCCCACTAGTCCAGAGGGGTGGGGACCCGTGTGTCCCAGGTCCCTGGGTCTCAGGAGCCTCGTCTGTGCCACGAGAGTTTGCCGTGCCCCACCCGGCAGAGGAGGACGAGGATAAGGGGCCGTCCGCGCCCGGGCTGTGGGTGGCTGCCAGCAGCTCCCAGAGGCACCCCCACCCCCACCCCCACCCCGGCTCCCTGTGGGCAGGGCCTTGGGCTACCTATAAAGCACCTCCTAGCCCTTGCCTGCGTCACCTCACAGTCACCCAGTGAGGGAAGGAGGGCCAGCCCATGCATGCCCACAGAGGGGGAAAGTGGACCTCAGAGGGGGCAAGAGGCAAGGCTTCCAATCCAAGACCACTGGAGTTCAAATCCCTGCTCCACCGTTTACTAGCTGTGTGACCTTGGGCAAATTACTTAACCTTTCTGAACCTCACTATGAAATGTAGGCAACCCAAGTTCCCACCTCACTAGGTTCAATGAGCTAATATATCTGCAGGGTTGAAGCACATAGCCCTGTGCAGATGTAGGTCATCACCGTGGTCACTCGTCCAAGCTGTGTGTCCACACACACACACACACACACACACACACCTGGCTGGAGTTGCAGAGCCAGAGCTGGGGGTGGACAGGGCTGGAGGGACCACAGGCTTGCACCTGGGGTGGAGGGGGGTCCCCACCAGGTTCTTCCCTCACCCATCACCCTGGTGAGGCTCTGGCTGCTGTGCTGGGGACCCCAGGAAGGCAGGCAGGCAGACAAACAGACCTCAGGCCTGGGCCAGCCCCGGAGCCCACCCGTGGCCTTGGGACTGGTGCTGTACACAAAGGCGGGGAAGCGCCTGTTTGTTTTCCTGGGGCTCCGCGGGCATTTTTAGCTCCTCCAGACGAGGAAGAGGATGTGGATGTTTGGACGTCGTGGTCCAGTGGCCCGGCAGCTCCCTCTACCCGCCTTGGACGCTGGCAGAACTGGAGCCAAGCTCTCCGGGGGCGAGGGGAGCCAGGCCCCGTGGCTGGGAGAGCCCGCACAGGACAGGAAGGTCATCTCTCCCAGAGAAGACAGGTCCACCTGGGCCTCTGCGGGGGTCGGGGCTGGCCCGGAGGAGCTCCCGGGCCCCAGTACTGAGCACCAGGGCTGTGTTCCTGCCGAGGCCCGCAGCCCGTGAGGAAGGAAGTGTGACCAGCCCCTGAGTCCTCCGCTCTGCCCTGGAGGGCTGGTGCTTAGAGGATGCTCACACCTGGAGAAGAGGAGACTGAGGCTCAGAGAGGCAAACCAGCTGGCCCAGCATCCCCCAGAAAGGAAGTGGCAGCACCAGCATTTGACCCAAAGCTGTGATGCCAAAGCCATTTCCATGTTACAGGAGGCTTCCCCATGGCGGGCAGAGTGACACACACTGGTTGTCCTGGTGACTCTGACTTGGGAGGCTGAGGCAGGAGGATCACAAGTTTAAGGCCAACCTCAGCAACTTAGGGAGACCTTATCTTAAGATTTAAAAAAAAGGGGGGCTGGGCATGCAGCTTACTAGTAAAGTGCCGCCAGCCTCAATCCTCAGTACCCCCTCAAATATTAACCCAATGCCTCCCCGTGTGGACTAACGGGAGACGCCCAGCCTTTTCCACATCCTGATGCACCCAGGAAAGGTATGAGCTGGTGAGGAGCAGGGGTTCCAGGGCCTCCAGCACCCACCCATCACCCCAGGGCAGGAAGCCATGTGCTACCTCGGGAGAGAGGCTGTGTCCTGGATGTGGGTTAACTTGCCCTCTGCAAATCAGGGCGTCCTCCTGTCCCCTCCTAAGGAGCCGACGGGGGATTCTGGAAGGGACGGGGCAGGAGAAGCCCAGGCAGGGAGGGGGCAGCCTCTCTTGCCAAAGAGAACTCCTTGTAACTTCAGGGAACCTCCTGTCAGAAGAATGGGAAGCAGCCATGGTATAAAAGGCACAAGTGATCACTATCCATCCGAGCAGAGGCACCGTGACACTGTGTCACGCAGCTGCTCCAGGCCCGGGAGGTACCGTCACTCATTCAATCTGCACAGCGTGCCTGCAAGAGCACGGCCATCGCCACCCATCTTACAGATGGGGAAACCAAGGCCTCCAGAGGCTTTGCCAGGGTTGGGGTGACGAGGAGAGAGCTGGGATGTGAACCCAGGCAGCCCAGCACCAGCAGCACCCAGTGAACCTCTCCTCCACCCACCCGACAGGCAAAGCAAAGACCATGTCTGCCCGGGCAACTGGGCTGCCCTCACTGCCGAGTTTGACGGGCTACCTCTGCACCTGGCTCTTAGTTGTGCTGGGAACCTAAAAATAAAGCCTCTCTTTTTTTTTTTTTAAGGCAAACATGGTGATGCTGCATGGTTCACTCCTACATCAACTGCCTGGACCTCCCAATAACCTAGGGAAAGTTTGTTTTCCCCATTTTACAGACAGAAAAACTGAGTCCAAGGCCTCCGTGTTCTTATCTGTAGAATTGGGGTGCAGATGGTCTGGTTCTGGGGAGTATGTGCAGATGAGCTGGTGCCCTGAGGGTGTCCTCACAGAGGAAAGGTATGACTGCCAGCTCACTGTCGGGGAGCCCCTGTCCTGGGGGCGGGCCTACAGGCCGAGGCCGACAGACAAGTGCACACACAGCCGGGCAGTGGCCACAGGAGTGGGTGGCACAGGTAGGGCAGGTCGCCCAGCAGGTGTGACTGACTGTCTCAAGAGTGCTCGGTGCTCCTTGGGGGCAGATGTACTCCCAGTCACCGTGCACATCCCCTGAGGTCACCCAGGTATTGTCCCTGGTCCTAGATGGGGGCTGGAGGCTTCCCGCCGCCCCTCCCCCCACCCCAGGGCCGTGACATTCTTCCCTGGGTGAACACAGGGCTCTCGATGTCCTGGGACCACATCTGGAACCTGGTGAGTGGACACCGGTGCTCAGCACGGAGAGGGCTGGGGAGTGGGTGCCTGGTTCCAGTGCCCCTGCTGGGGTGGGGCTCCCGGGTCACCAAACTCACTCCATCCCCACAGTGGCGGTGGCATGGGAGTGGCCTGCCCGCGTCACAGAAGGGAAAATCAAGGTCAGGTCGAGAGCGGGAGAGTGATTTCTAGGTCGCTCAGGTGCCTAGAGCTGTAGCTGGATCCTAAGTCCCAGGACTCCCAGGACAGGGCCCAGGGAGGGAAGGGGAGGCTTGGGGACGGAGCCGGCTGCAGGTGGGATCTGGCTGGTGCGCAGGAGGGTGAGCCTGGGTGGCCGGGGGCAGAGGGGCCTGGGGAGACAGGCGGCCGTGTGTGTGCACCCCAGCTACACAGGCCTGTGCGGGGGACAGCAAACGCGGGGACTGGCCGGGCAGGTGACACCCGGGTGCCAGCCCTGGCCACGCGGCCATGAGCCCCGTGCAGGCCGGAGGAGCCTGCCCTCCTGAGACCACCGCCGGTTGGAGGATGATCTCAGCTCCCTCCGTCCCCCACCCCCCCCAGCTCCTTCCTGTTTTGATGGAAGGAAAAATTTTCAGCTTTTCCTTCTTTATTTTTCCAGACGGGTGACTCGCTGGGGAAAGGAATTCCCCCTCCCCACGCCGCCGTCATGCCTGGTATCGATGCCATAGATCCAGGCCCATCCTGTTGTGCTGGGACAGTGGCAGTTATTTTTGGGTGCCTTGCGGGGGTGGCGCCCCAGGGGAGGGGATGTGGGGTGCCAGGCTGCCTCCTTCCAGTCCTGGTCCCCCCCAGGCTCCTCCCCGCCCCCACCGTCCTCCGGCCTCGCTGGGGGGAAGGAAGCCCCGCTCTCTCCGCCGGGTATAAATAGCGCAGGTGGTTACTCAGCCTCGGGAACATGATAACATGAGTCACCCGCGAAATCAAGACAGCGCCGTCAGCCCGGGCACCGCCCCGGGCACCGCAGAGGTGGGCTCCCGGGAGGGGCTGCGGTGCCCGTACTGGGACAGCACCCTGCACGGTCCGAGCCGCGGAGAAGCCGCAGGCCAAGCACGGTCTCAGCCAGGCCACAGGCAGGGTGGGACAGCTCGGTGTCCCCGCCCTCTCTGCGCATCTGGAGGGGCGGCGTCCTTCCCAGGGCCCTCCCCAGCCAGGAGGGAGGAGGAGGGCAGGGGCCACACTCCCAGCGTCCTTGGGTCCTCTCCCTGTGCCCGTCACATGTGGCATATAGAGTAAGTCCATCGGAACTTTTGGTCCCCTCGCCCCATTTCCAGGGCAAGTGGCTTTTGGGGTCCCCTGGGCCTCGATGGGGACCTGTGGGATGGAGCAGGGGGTTGGGCAGCAGCAGAAGGGCCTGCGGGGCCACGCCCACCCAAGTGGCCCTGGATCGAGGACACTCTGCCTAACACCTTCCTCTGCGCCTGGCTGCGGCGTGGGCACAGAAACAGGACACCCTCAAGGACCTCGGGCGGAGCCGTGTGACCAGCCAGGCGGCAAGGCCAGGGCCTGGCCCTGCAGGCTAGATCAGCAGCCACCCAGCCCCGGCTCCTCGCCCAAGTCCTCTGCTCCGACTCATCTCCAGAGCCACACAGGCCCGGACCCCGTTGCCATGGCAACGGGCTCTGGAGCCAGCGCAGACCAGGCCACGTCTCCTGTCCGCCTCGGGCCACCAGGCCTGGTGGGGACAGCAGGGCCACATGGAAGGGAGGAGCCCATCACACCTGTCCTGGTGGGGGAGTGTCTGGCGGGGCACAGCAGGTCTTCTGTCCAGGCCGCCTGTTGAGGCACTAGGGTGACCATGTGACCACATGGCTCTGTCCCTGGGACTGAGCCTGAGGACCCCAGAGTCAGAGGGAGATCGAGAGTCTCCTGGCTGTTGGGAGGTGGCACAGCTGAGGGCTGAGCACTGGGACCCCAGAACCCCGACCTCGGCCATGCAACACCCCCCCCCCGCCATCTCTGGCCTTTGTCCAAAGGGAGCCCCCAGAGCCGCGCCCCTGGCTCCCAACCCTGGCCTTGTCTCTTCTCCAGGAGACACAGCCCCACCCTGCCCGGCCCCCTGCATGCCCAGACAGCTTGGCATGGCCCGGACCCTGCCATTCAATGGGTAGCCTGCCCTCTGGCCCCTCACACAATAGGGACTCCAGGAATACTGTCCCCCAGGCTGAATCAAAGGCTCTAAATTTAGCCCATCTGCTACTGCGAGCTTCCTGCCCCTGCTGCCTCCTTTCCAGGCGATGAGGTCACCCCGGAACCGCCTGCCCCTGCGGCCAGGCCGGGGGGTTTCCAGGTCCGGGGTGTTCTGCGGCTCTTGGGGACAGGGCCTTGAGCGTCCTCCTCCCTCCAGGGCCCTGGGGCCCCTCCTGCTCCTGGCCCTGTGGCCGACGTCCTCCTGGCCACCCCGGCCCCGCTGAGTCCCGGGAATGTCACCAAAATGACTTATGGAGAGTCCAGTCCATGCTGGCCCTGCGCCCAGGAGAGGGCAGCGGACCGGACCGGGACATGTCCTGCCCTCTCGGCAGGGACAATCAGCAAGTAGACCATAAACCAACCAGACAATGTCACTCACGGAAAGTGGCATAAAGGAAATAAACGAGAGATGCCATCACGGCACCAGGGTGAGCGGAGGGCATCGCCTGGAGGGGTCAGGGAAGGCCTCCGGGTGACACCTGAGCCGGGGCTCGGATGACCAGAAGAACTATTCGAAGATCTGGGTGGGGCTGCACCCTCCAGGCCAGCGGAGGGTGAGGCAGACGCTGGGAAGAGCCCCCTGGCTCCGCGCGCAGCTGGAGGGGGGGTGGCTGCGAGGGGGCCGGGTGCGGATCGGCCAGCGGCCGACTCGGTTTTAAAAAGCTGTGTCGCTGCCACATGGACAGGACGAGGAAGGACAAGAACTGAGCACCCTCAACTGCGGGCAAAGGCACCTTGAGGAGTTTCCTCCTTTAGTCCCTTCATGAGTCACAGTGGCCCAGAGAGGATATGTGTCCCACAGCAGGTCAGCTGTCCCCGGAACACCGCTGAGAGTAGGTAGCGACCTCCCCACTGTCCCTCCCTGAATGGCTCCACGAAGCCCCTCTCCCCCACTCTGCCAGGAACCCAGGGTAGGCAGGGAGTGGGGGGCCTGGAATGTGGCCTTCTGATGCCACACTGTGTGCCACCCTCGGCAGAGACCTGGGGGGCACACAGAGGGACCATCAGCTCTCTTCCAGAATGGGGAGGCTGGCAGGGGCCAGCCGAGGAGGGCAGGGTCTCAGCTGGGGGACATCTCCTGTTGGAGCTGCTGTCCCTGCTTCCCCCAGGGTGGGAGCCGAGGCCTAGCAATGGTGACCCTACCCATCCCTGCAGTGTCTCTTGCCACAAGGGCTCAGTGTGCGCATTTAGGAGGTGACAGGCCCCAACCCAGGCCAGGCTTACCCTAGCACTCCTGATCCCCCCAACCTGGCCCCTGAGAAGAAGGTGAAAACCTCTCTGCTGGCCAGGGGAGCCCAGGGAAGGTGGAGCGAATGGGAAGTGGGATACTCAGCGAGGACCCTGACTCCAGCCGTGTGACCTTGGGCAAGTGACTGAACCTCCCTGAACCTGGGTCTCCTCATTTGTCTAACAGCAATAATTACAGGGCCTAACCCGCTGGGGTTCCTGGGGCAGAGCGTTTTTCTTAGTGAGTAGCTGGGGTAAGAGGATGTAGGGGAGTTCACGCGCCCCCAGTGGTCCCGGGGTGCTGGAAACCTCTGGGGAGGGTAAGGAGCCGGGGCCAGGAGAGGTGGCGGACATCCACCCAGTCCAGGTCGCCGGTGCGCGGGCACCCGCTCAGCCAGGCCGTGGCAGGATGGCAGGCGGGTGAGGACTCCTCGCCCCGCGGCTGAGCCCCCTCCCTCCGCAGCAGGACCCAGGCCAAGGAGGCTTTATTTTTAAACCTCAAACAATGGCTGGCCCGGCTCAGCCTCTCCTCCGAGGACAGAGAGAGCGTGGAGCCGAGGGGCCAGGCTTCCTGGGCCAGCATTCCTCCCCAGAGGACGCCGCCCCCCTCCAAGACAGGCCCGGAGCCCGCTGGGCCCTCCTTCTCAGCCGCAGGGGGTCGGGATTCCAGAATCTTCAGCAGCCCCGGGCCCTGGCCAGGACACCCACCGCCACCCCCACCAGCCCCTCCAGCCCTTGTCGCTCCCCAGGGCAGCTGGACACCGTCTCCTGGGAAGGCTCCCCCCGACCTGTCCAGCACCCGTGACCCCCTGATGCCCCCAAGTCCCCTTGCTCACAGCCCTGTGGGAAACTCCTGCCCCTGTGCAGCAGGACAGTGTCCCTGACAGTGACCTGCGGTGACAGTCGAGCCAGGCAAGGGTGACTGGATGAGAGTCAGGGGGAGTAGCCTGTGTGGAACCCAATGTCAGCCCCTGTGTGACCTTGAGCAGGACCCATAACCATCCTTTGTCCCGTCATTTCCTCTTCTGGGCAACAGGGACAATAAGCCACCCCACGCCCATCACACGGCGAGAACGGTCTTGGCTTCTGGGTGGGCAGGGGACGCTGGAAATGGGGGCCCAGCCCCTGTGGTCCCTACAGAGACCCACAGACCCACACCCCGGCCAGGCCACCTGCGTCTCTCCCAGGTCTGCCACTGTCGGCCTCGGATCTGGAAGGTCAGGCAGGTCACCGCCGTCACCTCTTCAGCTGCAGAACGGCTGAAGCCCCACCGCGCCTCCCGGGGCTGCCACGAGGTCAGAGAAACGCGAAGCTGGGCGCTGGGTGACCCCAGAGTGTGGAGGACACCGGACGTGTGGGGACGAGAACGGGCACCAGGCTGGAGGTGTGCATTTGTGTCCTGGGCGAGGCTGTGTCCAGGCCTGGGGCATGTGTGGGCTGCGACCTTCGGTGAGCGCCCGGGGGGTGCAGGGGGACACGAGGAGGACGTGCGGGGGACCCCTCCTCGCCAGTATCGTTTCCTGCTAGACGGGGAGCACAGGTCACCAAGGTCCCCTCTCTCCCGAGCCTGGCCCCCCCACCCCAGAGGGAGACTCCTGGGAGAGGAGAGGGACGGTCCGGGGGAGAAGGGAAGGGCTTGGCGTCTCCGGCCTGGGCATCCTCGGCTCCTGCCTGTGACACTGCGAGTCCTCCTTGGCCATCCCCCCATCCTGTGGACTCTCCTTTGTCCACTGCAGGGACCCAGTGTCCAGAACAGCACCAGACACATAGTAGGTGCTCAGCGAGCTACGCGACTGCCACCCCCGTGACCAGGCCCAGAGCGTCCCGCTGCCCCAGGGCCCCTCCTGCCCCTTTCTCAGGCCCTCCCTCTCCAGCTCCCTCCCGGGCAGCCCCGACCTGCCCTCGGGCACCAGAATTTTGCCTTTTCTAGAATTTCCCGTAAGCAAGAGCGTGTGACCGCCGACACCTGCCTCTGCAGAGCCAGCTCCCATGGCCACAAGGGTCAGAGGAGGGGCCCGTCAGCAGGTGACAGGTGACAGGCACAAGTGACAGGCCCAGGAAAGGTGAACAGGCCTGGCTGGAGAAATGATTTGGGAGGACTCTGTGGCCAGATCTAAGAAGGGCCTCCTCAGCAGAGGCCAGGAGAAGTTTCGGGGGGGGGGGTAGGGGGGCTCACAGACACACACACAAGTGTGCACTCACAAGCACGTGAGCACACTCCTGCTCGCACATACAAGGAGGAGAGCAGGCCAGGCCCGGAAGGACGGCTCCGAGGCAGACGAGGTCCAGGCCGGGGCCTGCTTGGTCCCTCTTCGCTGCCCAGGAGAACCCCCTCCAGGCTGCCCAGGGAGGAGCCGCGGGCCGGCCAGGGTGGGCTGGGTGAGTGGAGCGCGCTCCGTGGCCCCTAGGCTGTCACGGGAAGCAGCACTTGGTTCTCTGGACGCTGGCCTCTGCAGCCCCAGGAGGCCACGCTAGGAGGACACTCAGCCGCCCACACAGTCCCAAGTCCAGCCACTGACCACAGCTGTGTGAGACCCCAAGCCACACAGCCTTGCTCAGCCCTTCCTGACCTCCTGACCTGCAGAAGCTACGAGAACAAGCTGCTTCTTGTAAGTTTTTTTTTTTTTGGGGGGGTGTACTGGGGACTGAATACAGGGGCACTCGACCACTTAGCCCCATCCCCAGCCCTATTTTGCATTTTATTTAGAGGCAGGGTCTCGCTGAGCTGCTTAGGGCCTCACCATTGATGAGGCTGGCTTTGCACTTGTGATCCTCCTGCCTCAGCCTCCCATGCCACTGGGATTACAGGAGTGCACCACCGTGCCTGGCTTCTTGTAAGTTTTAAGCTACTAAATTTGGGCTGGTTTGTTACGCAGCAGTAGCTAACGGATCATGATCCACTGCCAATCCTGTTGGATCAATGGTCAAAATAACCCACCACCAGCACCAAAATCCAGGCCGCTGTGGTCTCCTGCCTGGCCTCCCGCCCTGTCCTTGACTCTCCCGTCCATGCAGCACCACAGCTCAAAGCCCCCAGTGACTCCCGCGGAGCCCAGACAGGGACACATGCTTTGTGCAACCCCACGATCTCCCTCCCCTCAGCTCCCCCACTCCCCTAACTCACTTCACTCCAGCTCTGGGGCTTCGGGCTCCTCCCTAGACTCACCAAGCACACCCCTTCCTCAGAGCCGCCACCCGGTACGCTGTGCCCACTAGCTGGGATGTCCCTTCCCACAGGCTCCCACATTCTGGAATGTGAGATGCCACCAATCAGCAGGCCTCCCCGACGCCTGCCCCTGCCTCCAGTACCCCCAGCCTTCACTTCCTGCTCCTGCTCCTGCTGAGGCTGGTAAATCGTGCTCGGTCTTTCGCTGCCTGCCTTTCTTGTGTTTCTGCAAGCCCCTGCCAACGGGGACTTTCTACGGTTTATCTTCAGGGCCCAGAGCAGGGCCTGGCCCGCCATGCAGCTGTGAGTGAGTGGATGGATGCATGCATGACTCATCTCACCCCTGATGGTGACAGGGTGACAGGGAGAGCACTGAGCCTTTCAAGACAGGTTGCTCACAGAAAAAAAAAAAAAAAATCCAGCCAGGCACCATGGCGCACACCTGTAATCCCAGTGATTCTGGGAGGCTGAGGGAGGAGGATCTCAAGTTCGAGGCCAGCCTCAGCAACTTGGCAAAACCCCATCTCAAATTAAAATTTGAAAAGGGCTGGGATAAGGGTCCGGGGAGAGCACTTGTCTATCATGCACAAGTCCCTGGACTCAGTCCCGAGTACTAAGGGGAAAAATTCCACTAAGAAGTGCACAGAGGACCTGAATAGACCTCCCTGCCAAGAAGACCTACAAAGGCCAATAAGCGCGTGGAGAAACGTCTGCATCACGAATCACCAGAGAGATGCAAATCAAAGCCACCGGAGAGCTTGTGACCCCGTCAGTGTGGCTATCATCAAAATCACAAGAAATAGCAAATGCCAGGTAAGAACGTGGAGGAAGGGAGAGTCCCAGACCTGTGGCCAGCACCGGCAGGACAGCCCGCAGAGCGGAGGTTCCTCAAAACACAAGACCGCGCTCTGCTCCCCTAACCGCCACAGGGCCCAGAGCCCGGGACAGGAGCATAGCAGGTCCGAGGTGTGCACTCCGCAATGATCCCTGCAGCGTCCTTCACGGTCCCAAGAAGTGCCCTCGACCCCAGTGTCCATCGGGGGATTAGTGGCTAAAGAAAACGTGGCCTGTCCACAGTGGCCTCCCACGCAGCCGGAAAAAAGGGTGATTCTGTCATCTGCAGCAACACGGGTAAGTGGGAGGAAGTGGCGTGTGGGGACGCGGGGACAGGGAGGGAAAGCCACGTGTGCTCACTGATATGCAGAAGTTGAGGAAGTTGCAGCAGTGGAGCAGCCCTTAGCAGAGCCAGGGTAGGGGCTGGAGCAGGGATGGCGGGGTCAGCGTGCAGGCTGGACAGGAGGGTGACCGCATGCTCTGCAGCGCCCTAGGATGGCCCGGGCTGAGGTCATTGAGAGTGTATTGCAACATCGTCAGGAGAGGGATCCTGAAAGTTCCCAGCACAAAGAAAGGATCCATGTTAAAGTGATTGACACGACAATCACCCTGATCAGCACACAGTGTGTGCATGTAGTGAAATACCATGCCGAACCCCAATATATGCACAATAATCATGTCTCAATTAAAAATCAACATTTAGGGGTGCAGCGGTGCACACCTGTAATCCCAGCGGCTTGGGAGACTGAGGCAGGAGGATCGTGAGTTCAAAGCCAGCCTCAGCAACAGCAAGGCACTAAGCAACTCAGTTAGATCCTGTCTCTAAATAAAACACAAAATAAAGAGGATGTGGCTCAGTTGTCGAGTGTCCCTGAGTTCAATCTCCAGTACCCGCCACCAAGTTAACATTTAGCAGGTTCCGTGGTGGTGCACACTGTCATCCCAGCGGCTCAGGAGGCTGAGGCTGGGGGATCACAAGTTAAAAGCCAGTCTCAGCAAGAGTGATGCCCTAAGCAACTTAGCAAGATTCTGTCTCTAAATAAAAAGTGCTGGGGATGTGACTCAGTGGTCAAGCACCTGTGGGTTCAATCCCTGGTAGCAAAAAAAAAAAAAAAAAAAAAATCAACATTTAAATTTTTAGAAACTAGGTTGCTCTCCTGCTCATTCAAGCTACACCTCGTGCTTCAAATGAGGCAGTGAGGCCCAGAGAAGGGGAGTCATTTGTTGAAAGCTGGTGGGTCATTTGCCTGTTCAACAATGCTGGTGCAGGGACAGGGTCACAGCATGTCAGAACTTTCTGGAACCTTTGAACCAGATCTTCTCCAGTCTCAGGGCTGCCACCCCCAAGCGTCCAGTTACCTTTGCCTTAGCTTTCACACATCCACCAAGGGATGCCCCCCACACCCCAGGGGCAGGGGAAGATTTACCCCGCAGCTATGTGGAGCCCTGAGCCCCAGCACCTCCCTCCCGCCAGCCCCTCCCGAGGAGCCCCGCCCACCATGTGCACCATCACCCAAGTTTCTCTTAAAAGAAAATCTGGAGACTGATGCACCTAATGGCCCTTAAGGCCCTGCCCTCAAGGTCATCCTGAGAAGCTGGCCAGTTACTGCCCTGGGATGGTGCCCGGCACAGAGTGGGCATCGAGGGCCAGCTCTGTGCTTGGAGCCAGGAGTCGGGGGTGAACAAGACGAACCACACCCTGTCCCAGTGGAGCCCATGTCCCGGCTGGCCGGGCGGGCAGGTTGCCTCTGGGGGAGCCTCGGCAGACCTGGGGGTGAATGAGGAGACCAGAGAAGCCAGGGTGCTGGTAGGCTTCCCTGTCCCCACCTCCGAGGGACAGCTGGGTGCTGCTCTGCCACCCCCTCCTGGCTTCTGAGCTCAGCCCCACCCAGCCCCAGCCCAGCCTCCACTTCCCCTTCCCCTTGAGACCACGAGAGCAGGGAGCACAGCCTTTCCTAGACTGCATTCCCCGCCCCTGCAGAGGGCGGAGCAGGCAGAGCAGGCACTGGACACAGCAGCTGACCCTCGGCCTTGGCCCACCCACCAGCCCCCAGCAGAACCTCCTCCCCTTCCCCTTTCCCAGCCCTCCTGGGAACCTGGGGCTCCCCCATGCATCAGACACACTCTGGGCCTGGACGCCCCTCCTGCCCTTCTCCATCTGACTGGAGATCAGCTGTCACCTCTTCCCGAAACTCCCTGAGTTATAAGAAGAAAATGAATCTTGTTCCTGTCTATACCCCAGCGCTTACTGCACGGGTGGACGGGTAGATGGGTAGATGGATAGGTGGGTGGGTGGATGGGTATATGGATGAGTGGGTGGATGGATAAATGGGTGGATAGATGAGTGGGTGGGTTTATGGATGGGTAGATGGATGGGTGGGTGAGTAGGTATATGTATGAGTGGGTGGGTGGGTGGGTGGATGGATGGATGGATGAATGGGTGGATGGATGGATGGATGGGTGGGTGGGTATATGGATGAGTGGGTGGGTGGATGGATGGATGGATGGGTGGGTGGGTATATGGATGAGTGGGTGGGTGGATGGATGAATGGGTGGGTGGATGGATGGATGGGTGCATGGATGGATGGGTAGATTGGTGGGTGAGTGGATAGATGGATGGATGGATGGATGGGTGGATGGATGGGTAGGTTGGTGAATGGGTGGATGGAGGGTGGATGGGTGGATAGATGGATGGATGGGTGGGTAGGTTGGTGAATGGGTGGATGGATGGGTGGATGGGTGGATGGATGGGTGGATGGGTGGATGGATGGATGGATGGATGGATGGGTGGATGGATGGGTGGATGGATGGGTGGATGGATGGGTGGGTGGATGGATGGGTGGGTAGGTGGGTTGGTGGATAGGTGGGTGGGTGGATGGATGAACATTAGTTCACAAAGTGACCTCCTCAGAACCCTGGATCAGGGCTGTCACCCTCAAGCGTCGAGTTACCTTTGCCTTAGCTTTCACACGTCCACCAAGGGATGCCCCCCACACCCCAGGGGCAGTGGATGAGTGGGTGGATGGGTGGATGGATGGATGGATGGATGGGTGGGTGGGTGGGTGGGTGGGTGGGTTGGTGGATAGGTGGGTGGGCGGATGGATGGACATTAGTTCACAAAGTGACTAATGTGTCTGAGGAAAGCCATGGGTCTGTGAGGAGCGTCTTCGCATTTCCCGAAGCAGCAGCTGGGAGCGTCTAACCACTCTCAAAGCCCAAGTCACAGGGTCGACCTGAGCCAGGCAGCCTCGTTTCCAAGCCTGGCCCTGCCCTTTGCTGACCTTGGCTGAATTTCTTCACCTCCCTGAGCCTCATTTCCCCGCCATCAGTGCCTGTCTAGCAGAATGGTTCTCAATATTCACGGAGGTGACTGTGGGAAGCCGGAACCCATGAAAATCACTGCACACACGAGTCCTTAATTAGGTCTGTGGCCCTGATCTGGGTTTAGAGGATAGCACACACGTGTGTGCACACAACTACTACTTGTGTCAGAGCAGGAGGCCGGGATGCCCGGACTGAGGTCCTCTGGCTCACATGGCACCCTGGACAGAGGCCACCAGAAACCCCAGGCCCTACCTAGCTCCTGCTGGCCCAGGCTGAGGGGGTGTGTGCCACCTGGTTCCTGCTGGTGGACACACTGCTGCCCAGAGACGCCGCCATCCTCCCCTCCCGGGCCCTCCCAAGGGTGATGGGGCAGGGGGACTGAGGGACACTGCAGGTGATCTCCCAACAGACGGAGCTTGCAGAGACCCCCTGGGAGATGCTCACCCTCACCGCGGACCCAGTCCCCCAGGGAACAGCCACTGGAATCACCGTCACAGCCAGAGTAAGGTTTCAGAGACCCCGGCCACTCAGGGGTCCCACTCAGCCTCCTGGTGCCTCCCCCCGAGGGCCGGGGAGATGGCTTCGTGTAAATAGGGAGTTTAGGAAACTTAGAGGCCTCTGTGCAGGGCCTTCTGCGGAGGATGCCCAGGCCCAGGAAGGTTGAGTGAGTCCCCCACAGTCACAGCGCTGGGGAAGAGCCTGGCCGGAACCCTGGATGCTGCCGCTGGCCGAGCTCCATCCTCACCAAGAAGTTCCTGGAAATCACCCCAGTTCAGACTCGGGGACAGTTGAACCTCTGGGGGCCAGAATCAATCCCGGGGACTCCCTGGCAAGAACACTAGCATCTTTTGGGGTGTCTGAGGACAGAGTTGCTCTTCCAGGATCCGATAATAATGACACCACTGGACACACGGATGGTCAGGCCCATTTGACAGGACGTACCACTGAGTCCCAAGGGGTTTGCCCAGGACCACGGCAGCGGCCCTGGTTCTGATACTGGGCCAGCACCTGCAAGCCCAGAACCCTCCCTGAGCCAGTGCCCCCCGGGACTGCAGCTGGGCAGGTCTCACACAGCCCCACCCCCGTTCCCAAAACGCGCTTTTTTTTCATTTCTTTACTACAAAAGCGACAATACAGCTTACTTACACAATCTGAAAAATGCGGAAAAGTCAAAATAAGGGAGAAAGGTCACCGCCCACTGCCCCCCCCAGAGACCGTCATTGTTAAGGCGTGACGTATTTCCTCCCATAGTTTTTTTTGTTTGAGGACTTTTTTAAAAAAAAAAAAAAACCATGGCTGAGATCATACTGTATATTAAAAGAAAAAAAAAAACCGCCAACGGTGGCGCCCTGCTTTGCTGCCCTGCCTTTAGATCACGGAACCTTCTTTTGGTTATTTTGCCCCCATTTCTTTTTCCTTTCTCTGAGCTTCATTTTTATTGGCCGCCTAATATTTGGTCCCGTGGAAGTTCCATAGTTTATCTAGCCATTCCCTTCTTGTTGGACATCACGGTTATTTCCACTTTTTTGAAGTTATAAATAATAATGGATTTTGATTGGTATCTTTGTATTGAAAGGCTTGTGTTTTCCATATTTAGGGACAACTCCTAGGTACCAGGCTGGTGCCCTCAGCCCAAATGCCTCCCTGGGGACCTGGGCCAGGCTGAGGGAGTGTGTGAGCAGAGAGGCCCTCAGAGGTGAGGCCCTGCCCATGGCCCCAGACAGTCAGCAAGGCCCACAGCCTTCCTCGGCTTCCCGTACTGCTGGTCACTCGTTCCTTCACCGAATTCAACAGAGGAGGAAAGCCACTCTGTGCCAGGGGCAGGCCTAGGCCCAGAGATACCGCTGGGGACCCAGCAGACAAACCTGGGTCCTCAAGGCACTGCCACCTGCAAGGCATGATGGGAAGGAGGGCAAGTGCAGCCTTTGCAAACTGAGGTCTATTTATTTGCATATTATCTAATTTACATACCATCTCATTTGCATGCCACCCAGGAAGAAGTGGGCAGCGCTGAGGGCAAAGCTGGTCTCCTGGCCTCACACTCTTTCCTAACATTTGGCCTTCTCTTAAAAATTGGGAGATTTAACCAAAACCTTAAGGGGGAACCACACCTTAAATGAGAGCACTTACCAGGCTACCTGGGTTGATGTCAGCAGGTGGTCCTAACCCTGGGTCCACTCCTCCTCAAGGGTTTTATTTTTTATGCTGGGGATTGAGCCCTGGGGCACTTTACCAATCAGATAGTTCTCTGTCTCTTTGTTTTGTTTTGAGGCAGGCTCTGCTAAGTTGCTGAGGCTGGCCTCAGTCTCCTAGGTCACTGGAATTGGTGTGTACCACCTGGTCTGGCCACCCCTCCTCAAAGGGTTTCTGATACAGGAAGCCAGTGACCACAGGGGCAATGCAGCCTCTTGCCTTCCGTCCAGGCCCAGCCAGGCTCAGCTCCCCAGGAGGATCCTTCTCCCCAGAGCCCAGGCTTCCTGCGTGGAACAATGGGACCGGGATGTCCCTCAGCCTCTGGCCTG